TATTATTCCTATTCAAAACACAATAGAAAAGAGGGGTTCTGAAGCACACTATTGGAGTTGCAATTTCAGTTACATAAAGGCGGGTATTTCAATCATGCAGCATCAGTTATTGAGTTATAGACAGACTACAAATTAAGATTAAAATTGAGTGTAGCTTGAGAAAATGTCATACCTCAAGGACAAAAGAAGGCTGAATGGGCACTAAAGATTTTATAATAGGAAGAAGAATTAAATTACAATAGTTTGTTACTTATATGCTCTGGCAGTCTGAAAATTGCATAGTTCTCTGCTTGTAACCTTTTGAGCTTCTGTCTTTAGCAATCCATGGGAAAGTGAGCTGCATTATGAAAATGTAACATTTCCTTTTAGAGCATTTTAGGACACAGAACTATTGGGAGTTCAGAGAATCTATCTGGACCATTATTATTACAAACTGTGTTCAGATACAGCAGAAAAGAATGATACTACTATATATAGATCTGTTCTCAATCTGATACATAATCACTCTTCCCAAAACAACCTTACTGTTTCTTGTATTAATTCTACATTACTTATGTAGAGTTTATGGATTGTTTCTGTTTAAATGCATCTAGGGTAATGTTAAAAGAGTTGTGGGCAATTTCATTTCTAAATTAACATTACATAGACTACAGAGACCGATTGTGATAAAACAATTTGAATCACTTAATTTATCATAATTTGTAATGCTACTTTTGTAACAGTTTAATTGTTTATGCATATCCAGTGAGCTAACTGGTCAGATATAGGCTACATCACTGGAGATTTTTAAGAGATTGGATGGTCATATGTCTGGAATGGTGTAAGATCTCCTGCTCGTGTAGGAGGTTAGACTAGAAGACCTTCAAGGTCCCTTCTAACTCTGTTATTCTGTATTCTGTAAATAGAAAAGCAAAAATTATTACAGGTAGCTGAGGTGCCTAACATTGGAAAATCCTACCGGTGGCTGGAAATGGCTGGATTAAAAGATAGCACTGAGGCACAGATCAGAGCAACACAAGAACAGGCACTATATATCAGATCCATTCTGCAGGGGTTGATTGCACTAGACAGGATCCAAGGTGCAGAGTATGCAGAGAAGCCTCAGAGACAGTCCAACACGTAGTGATAGGGTGCAACATGCAGGTAGGAACAACATACATTGAATGGCACAACCAGGTAGGGGATTCCACAGAAGGTTGTGCAGAATAACAGGGCTAAGATCTTGTGGGATTTCCAGACAGGAAGGCAGATACTGGCCAATCAAGCAGACATCAGGGTAGGAGACAAGGATACAAGGACCAGAAAACAGTGGTGGTAGATGTAGAGCTGACAAGTGACAGCACCATCAGGAAAGAGTATAAAAAACTGGAGAAGTATCAGGGTCTGAAAGAGGAACTAAAGAGAGTGTGGAATGTAAAGGCCAAAGTGATTCCAGTGATGGTAGGAGTATTTGGGATTATGACTCCTAATTATTTGGGAGAGAGGTTTCAACAGATTCCAACAACAATTTCAGAATTCTCTGTCCACAAGAATTCAGTGGTAGGAACAATTGAGATACTGTACAGACCCCTCAAACCAGTGGTGGGATTCAGCCAGTTCACACCACTTCAACAGAACCGGTAGCTAATTTTTTGTTGGACTTCCAGAAGCAGCATCCACACAGAGAACTGGCTGCTCATATATTTGAATCCCACCACTGCCTCAAACTTGCAGATTCCAGTAGAGGGCCCAAGATCGAGAAAGACACATATCATCCATAGGGATAAGGACAGAATTTTTAATTTTTCTTACATGATTGGGTTGCTTATCTTTGCTTCATAAGCTATCTTATATTTTTACTACACACTTAATCACTTTGATAAACTTACTTGGACAAGGAGGTGTTTTATAAATCAAGCAGAAAGTTTTAAGTTTCTTTTAAAAGCTGGCTAAAGTTCCAGTACAAGTACTTTTTAATACTGGGAGCAAAACCCAGAAATTGTACAGCAAGCAAGAGGGAAGGAGAGCTTTTCATCATATTCTTTGAATGAAGCACTCCATAAAATAGAATATGATTAAAAAAAGAAACCAGTTTTGAAAATAATTGAAGAAATTAAAGTAAAAATTTACAGTATAATAAAAATAAATTAATTAGAATTAATTAGCATATATCATTTTGATTTAGTATGAAAAAGCAATATGGCCATAATGCTTTTCCATTGGTTTTGGTTTTTAAACCAAATGAGGTAGTCTTTTAGTAACAAATGCTTAATCCATGTCACTTAATTTTTTTTTTAAAAAACAACTATGCACATTTGATAATTATTTGCTTGTCAATGATTGAATATTTTATGGTTACATTAATTTATTTAAGTGTTTCTAATTTTTATAAAAAGATTCACTTGGAAATAATTCAGGTAACAGTCTATCACTTCTTTTCTGAATGTAATAAGCATGAAAATTGGAGCTGATGGAAATATTCAGGCTGCACATGCCTTTGAAGAGGTACCTTGTTTCACTGAAAATATGATTATGAAACTCTGGTGATTGAATCAAAACACCTCACTGAAGAAAATAAGCCTCCTGAATCTTGGATAATTCATTTATTTAATTTATATGGCTCCCCATTCATGACTCCAGTAACAGTTAACAGAATAATAGAATTGGAAGGGACTTTGGAGGTCTTCTAGTCCAACTTCCTGCTCAAGCAGAAAACCCTATATCATTTCAGACAAATGGTTGTCTAATCTCTTCTTAAAAACCTCCAGTGTTGAAGCACCTACAACTTCTAGAGGCAGGTTGTTCCACTGATTAATTGTTCCAACTGTCAGGAAATTTCTCCTTAGTTCTAGGTTGCATCACTCCTTGATTAGTTTCCATCCATTGCTTCTTGTCCTGCCTTTAGGTGCTTTGAGAATAGCTTGACTCCCTCTTCTTTGTGGCAACCCCTGAGACATTGGAAGACTGCTATCATGTCACCCCTAATCCTTCTCTTCATTAAACTAATTAATGATAACTCTGCAATGATAATGAGCTTTGATTTGAAGACAAAGAAGGATGAAAATATTGGAATGGGATGAGCTCTTGCTTGTTCTCTTTCCCACCAGGACTTTGGGCTTATGTATGTAGATGTTGGGGAGACACTAGCTCAGCAATTAAAGACACTGAATTTGTCAGTTGGAAAGTTGACAGCCTGATTTCGAGACCTGAGTGCCATGCAATGAGGTGAGCTCTCATTACTTGCCCCAGCTCCTGCCGACCTGGCAGTTCGAAAGCATGTAAATGCAAGTAGATAGATAGGTACCATTTCAGTGGGAAGGTAGCAGTGCTCCATGCATATAGTCATGCTGGCCACATGACACAGAAATGTCTTTGGACAATGCTGGCTCCCTCAGCTAAGAAACAGAGATGAACACTGCTCCCTAGAGTTGGACACTTCCCCCTCTTTTTCCCCCCACTAGAAAGGAAGAAAATGTTTATGTATATAGATTTTTGCATCTGTTTGTAAAAGAGTGGTTTCTGTGCATGGGAACAGTTCATATACATAAAGAGGGGTCTGTTTTATAAATGGACTACCTTATTTTATAGGAAATTATTTTCAATCAATAGTTATTAATTTCATTAATGGTTTTTTTTGTGTGCTGGTTTTGACATTCTTTGGCATATAACTTTTGGATGTGGTGTGTGTATAGATATACATTTGCACACGTGAATATAAGTAATCCTCGTTTACTTACCATAGTTGGGATTGTCCACTTGGTAGCTAATTACATGGCTGCAACAGACTTATGATGTCACTTCCCTTTGGTCATTAAAGGAATCACTGCAGTCATTAAGTGAGAAATCATGTGATTGTGACTTACAATTTTATTTCTATGTGCTCCATTAACTCTTGAAAGCCAGTTGTGAAATGTGTGAATGTCCATCATGTGATTGCGATATGCTGTGACAATTGTTAATAGGAGAGTTGGTGACAAAGCTGGTTTTTTCATACTTTTGTAATATTGCATGGTCGCTAGGCAGTCAATAAGCAAGAGCTACCTGTATGTGCAAAAATACTGAAGTGTGTCCCACAAAACATTTATGGAGAGAGGGTTATGGGGACTGGTTTCAGCTGTGTAGACAATCCTGACTTGGCAAGATGGGAGAAACTGGGTATTACATAAGAGTTTGGGGTTTAGAAAGTTTCACTGTCAATTCTCCTTTGGGCTTGGAGGTTATTTTAGAATCTGCTGATTCTTCTTTTCAAGTTAATGTCATAATGAAAATCATCCGATAATGTCCTGAACTTAATTAGGTAAAGAAATACTTATCTCATATCATCACATCCATCCTCTGAGCTCTATATGCATCAGTGTCAAGAAGCATCTTATTCTAGTGTATTGTAAGTTTCACATTATAATATTATACTGCAGTGGAAGGAGAAGCTGGCAATTGTTCTGCTGACTTGACTAAAACTGTCACTTGCATTAATCCTCAGTTGGAATTGGCCCTAAAAATAGAACTGCGACAGCTGACATTTTTCTTTTAAAAGCCTTCTCCATCTAAATATAGAAAGGCCTATGTTGCCTCTCACAGGAATTATTACATGCACAAGCCAGGGTATCCATAAATAACCATGGCATCTCCCCTGGTAACAACACATAACATGCATTCTGGATTGCTGAGAATTCACTCTCCTGTCCAGCTGGGATTGTCTCAGCTGTCAAGCCTTACTTTTTAAAAGCAATTTCACCTCACTGGCCTATGTAACATTATAAAAAGAGCTGTGAAATGTTTCTGAGGTAAAAATCTTAGATGTTGCAATGTGTGTCCTTTTTATTAGATGAGCAAGGAGGTGGCTAAATCCTTGCACTGAAATAAAATAGAGAAGGAATAGAAAAATCTCTTAGAAAGGATAGCTACTTACTGTCAGGTTTTGAACACATTTTTTTTTCCTTTTCCAGATACACCATTTTTTTTAAAATAAAAAATGCAATGCAATACTAACTGTCTTTCCTTCTTCCCACCTGATTCTTTAGGTGGGAGAGTTCAGAGCTCATGCAGCGGAGTGGACAGCCAATGTTACTGCAGAGTTCAAAGAAACCCGCAGGCGCCTGAGCGTTGAGATCTATGACAAATTCCAGCGGGCTACCTCCATCAAAAGAAAGCTCTCTGCAGAAATGGCAGTGAATCACAGCCAAGACCTGACTCCTTGCAAAAGAACCTTGTCTGTCAACCACCTCACCAGCGAGAAGGATATCTTGCCTGCCATCACAAAGACAGATAGCATTTATATGAATGGCTTGACTCCTCACTGTGCAGCGGAAGAAATTGCTGTGATTGAGAACATTAAGTAGCAGTGACTTTGAAGCCTGATCTTTTAATAAGAAGCCACCTATGGTTTAGACTTACCTTGTAGGTCCTGATTATTTTCCCTCTGTCCATAACCGATGCCAATAGCATTTTTTAAAAATCATATGCATGAGTTCCAACAGAAATCTACCCACAATATGGAGTCATCATTATATTTCTTGAAAGACACAAGATGAATGGCACTTTGGTCATTGACAAATGCTGGACTAGGCAATGTTCAATGCCTTTAAAAAAAAAAGCCTAAATATTGGTGCCCAGACTGGCTTTTGTTTTTGTTTTTTTCATCTCTCCAGTTGCGCCGCAAGGCGTTAAGAATGAATAATGCTGGTTTAGGTTAACAATGTAGCTTTGAGAGATCAGTCCTTAAACTTTTCAGGGTCTACCATGCCAAGCCTAAGAAAGGACCATACATGGACTACAATCTATATGTAAATGGCAAGAAAATCTTATGCAGCCTTTTACCTAAGAAATTTTTGTCAGTGCCTTATCTTTTAAAGAAACAGAACCTCTATATCTTTCATATGGGTTTTTGTTAGTTTGTTGGTTCTTGCATGAGTACAATATCTCATGTTTATATTTCCTCTTGCCCTCCCCCTAACCATGTTTTAAGGATGTCTGAAGCCAAGGATACCAGCGTTAAAAAATATGCCAAATCAAGGACATCAAAACGCCACTTCTAATCTAGCTTTAAAGGCACTGCAATTATAAGGGTTGCAAAAGGTGTCCCCTATAATTTTTTTTAAACTCAGGTGCAGATAATACATGTACACTCAATTGATATGTAGAATTTATGGATCCATGTCAGGTCTCATTACTTAAACTCTATTCAACCTTTCATACCCATGCACCATGTACCAAAAAACTTCAGTTGTGTATTATTAAATTATTTGACAAGAGATATATCTTGGTGCAATAGATTTCTTTGCATATAAAGAATGCAGAAAAATCCTGAATCAGCAGCACATCAGCTACTAGCAAGTGCAGTGCTGCTGACAAAAAAGCATTCTTTTTTTTTTCTCTCCATTTGTTTTATCTGTGTCATGTTAGAAGTTCACTTAGCACAGGGATTGTGCCTGCTGGATTGCTTTCCTTGAATGTTACATCCTACATTTTTGCCCACTGCAGCTGGGAATAAAAGTAGGAATGCAATTGAAACTGGCATCACTGTGACTTTCAACACCAAGGATGTAGATGGTATCTGAAGACAAATGCAGACATGGAAGTAGTTGATCAATAGCACAGAGTACAATTAAATAGATGATTCTTGATTGGATATAATAGGCTGATATGCAGATCTGAAACCAGTCCTTAGAATTTCTTTGATTGTTTTTTAAAAAAACACAAATTAATTTTATAGCCTCTTGTGTCTTCTGTTTCTAAGTTTGTGTATGAGAGTCAGAAGGAGTGCAGAATAATGGAATAATGGAATGGCTTGTCTTTTAAATTGTTTTCAACATTTTATTCTATTGCAACCTGGCTGTATATAAATACCCCTTAAAAGATTAATAGGCAGCCTGATCCTCAAAGCATAACTAAGGTGCAAGACTCCACTGAAATCACAGGAGCTTACACTGACAGAGCTATTTGAGGCCTTCACTCTTGGCTCTGAGTATTTAATACAAAATGGGACTACAATTGGATTCTGTTCAAATAACATATCCGTATCATTTAGTTATTATTAATAGCAGTATAAACTATGAATGTTAAATTTATGAATGCTTCATTTTTTTATAACAAATCTAAGTTATAGGTGTAAATAGCAATCAGTGAAGAATTAACAAGAGTGTACATCTCAGATCAGTAAAGTTCCATTAAATATATATCAGGCCAAGCTCTTCAAAGAAAAAGGCCCCATCACCACCATTGCCCCCCCCCCCAGCACAGTGTTCTGAATGTCAACATGGTAAGAAAAGTTGTCTTACCATGTATAAACTGTGAATTGTAATGAAAATATAAAATAATAAAATTTTTAATTTAAAAAAAATGTTTCACTGAATCTCCTACTTGTGGCTATTTTAATGCTGGGAAAACTTCTGTAAAATCAGGATAGTGGAGCTTTCAAGTTAGGATGAATTCTATACCTAATTGCAGCCTCCTTGATTTTAATAAAATTATTTTGGCTGATATAAACAATATTTCCCTTCAGAAACATTTTGTTTCTTCTCCAATTAGTTGTTCAGGGTTCTCCCCCCCCCCCGGCTACTGTTTTATACTTGCATTTTGTCTTAAACACGTTGACCTTAATGCAACAAGCACAAAGTGGTACATACAACAGGACATTCTTGTTTTTATTCATAAAGGCTGTCTTGTTTGTAAAATACTACAGCAAGGCACTCCTTTTATTTCTAAAACAGAAACTTTCACACACATATTTAGATAGCTTAGATGATATATTTCTGTTGGGTCTAGAAAAAAGTTGCTTTATGCAAAGTCCTTTTATATATCCAATTGTATATGCAAATAATCTACTTATACATCTCATGACTATAACATTAAATTTCTCAAATCTCAGTGATCAGGGTTCCCAAGCGATGGCTATCGGATCCAGCTATTGAAATTCAGGTTATGCAGATGTGAACCTGAATTTTTGATTTACTTCATTTTAATAGAATGTTTCATATTTTGTACTTAATGGAATATGTATACCAGGTAGGCTCTTCTTGGATAAACAAAGCTGGCTGATAGGGGAGCTCCATGAACTGAATTATCTTAAACAGGTAGTCCTTGATTTACAACCATTCATTAAGTGACTGTTCAAAATTATGATAGCACTGAAAAAAGTGACTTATGACCATTTTTTCACAGCTACAATCCTTGCAGCATCCCATGGTCACATGATAAAAATTTGAATGCTTGGCAACTGGCATGTATTTATGACAGTTGCAGTGTCTTGGAGTTACATGATCACCTGTTGTGACCCTTTGACAAGCAAGTCAATGAGAAAGCCAGATTCACTTAACAAATGTGTTACTAACTTCATTGCAATGATTTACTGTGGCAAGAATGGTTTAAAATGAGGCAAAACTCACTTAACAATGTCTCACGTAGTAACAGAAATTTTGGGTTCAACTGTGATCATAAGTCAAGGACCACCTGTACATAAAAAACTCTAGACTAATAGAAAGGTATCATTACCAGGGTAGTATTGGACCCTTTATTCTTTGACAATGGATTATAAATTATTGTTTATTTTGGTACGAAACGTCAGTGTGATGTATAGCCTGAAACCAAACATTTAGAAATTGTTATAGACATATTAGGCTATCATATATCTGGATAACTCTGAACATTACAAGATCAGCAGTGACACAACAGGGAAGAGGATATTCAGAACACAGGATAGCATTTACATAAAGCAGATATTGATCTAATGGGTGTCTATATATATGCAGAAGGACAGCTCTATCCTTTACATGGTTGCTGTTCTTTTAGTGCCATCTCCCAATGGGAGGATAGTGACAATCAAAACTATGCATTCTTTTGATGTTGCTCTATTTGCTCACAGCCATTGATGATTTTCTGGGGAAATATAGGGCTGCAGTGATTTTCCACTGACTTCTGCAATATTTCATGGTTGTTAAATGAGTTTAGTCCAACTTTGTATGTCATTATATTCTGAAAGATTATATAACTGCTACATATTATTATTAGGAATTAATTCACTGTCTAACTGAACTCAGCCCACAGGATTCTGGGTGATGACCAATGACCTGGGTGAATTTGACTGGCTGCATTCAGGATGGAAGGCCAAAAATTTTACATTAAATGTTAAAGAGAATAAATACGAGTATATTGTTGCATTTAAAGAAGTATTTCAGAGTCAGTACTGTGGCTGCATACTATGTGTTTTGTGTTTGATGATTCTCAGATAATGCTTATTGTTAAAACTGATATTCCACTTTTTTCACTTTTTAAATATCCAGGATGATATCTAAACAATATTTTTGTTGAGTCCGGTTGTGTTTTAGTAGCAAAAATAGCTTTTTCCTTGAAGAGGAAGAGTTCTGTTTTTTTCTTTTTTCTTCTTAAACATTTTATTAATATGTAAAGTAAAATACAAAATATAAAGCAAATAGTAGGACACATTGGGGAGGAAAAAGGGAGAAGAAAGGGAGGGAAAGGGAGGGGAAAAAAGAGACTGACTTCCGACTTCCCCTGTTGCAGTAGAATAAAGCAGTAACGTCAAGCCTCGACTTTTTACTTTTCCACAATAGTAAAAACTGGCCATTTCTGTAACAACAAATCAATCTAATCAGAGTTTCATTCTTTTCCACCTCAAGCCCAAAGTCCAGAAGCACTCCACATAGAAACAATGGTACTTGTATTCTTTTCTTTTAATCAAAACAGTCAATTTTGCCATCTCTGCCAACTCCATCAGCTTCTGCAGCATTCATCCATATGAGAATCGAAATGTCTTTCCATTTTTGTGCATACAGTAGTCTTGCTGCCGTCAACATATACAGGATCAAAGTTCTGATTTTTTTTCCCAAGTCTTTTTCCATTAAACCGAAAAGAAAAGTTTCTGGTTTCGTGTTTATTTTTACTTTAAGGATTTTCTGTATCAAAATGTGAATCCTTCTCCAATATTTCTTTGCTTTATCACACGTCCACCATAAATGATAAAAAGTCCCTTCTTTACATTTACATTTCCAACATTCATTTGAAGTACCTTTATACTTTCTAGATAACTTGTCTGGTGTTGAATGCCAGTGATACATCATCTTAAAAGAAATTTTCTTTTAAGTTGTAATTCAATGTAAATTTTAAACTTTTCATCCACATATTCTCCCATTGTTCCAGCATCACATTATAACCAAAATTCCTTGCCCATTGTATCATACAATGTTTTACATGTTCACTTTCCAAATTGAATTTCAATAGCATTTTATAAGCCTTAGCAATGATATGTTCATCACTGCCACACAATGTTTCCAATTCATTTTTAACGAAGTCAAACCCCAAACACTTTTTATCTAGTTTACATCTTTCTTTCAGTTGTTGGTACAGTATGTAAACCAATGACTAACATAACCCTCTGATTCTAACTCTTCCCTCGATTTAAGAATAGGGTCACCTGAGTTGAAAAGTATTATTTTACCGTAAAAAGCTTCCTGTGGGGATACTCAAAGAGGCAACTTTGTGGAGAATCTTGTTTTATACTCGTTCCATACTCGTAATACGGCATATCTAACAAAATGATTATTAAAATCAACATTAACTTTAACTTTATCATACCATAAATAACTGCCATCCAAACCTTAATTCATGACCTTCCAAATCAAGTAGCTTCTTATTCTAGAGGTTCACCCACTCTTTTAACCAGGCCAGGCAACATGCATCAAAATACAGTTTCAAATCTGGTAAACCCCAACCCCTTTTTCCTTAGCATCTTGCAATAACTTACATCTAATTCTTGGTTTCTTCCCTTGCCATATGAACTTGGAAATATCCCTTTGCCACTGTTTGAATGGGACATCAGTTGTAAGTATTGGTAATGTCTGGAACAGAAAAAGCATCTTTGGTAAAATATTCATCTTGATTACAGATATCCTACCCAATAATGGCAGATGTAATTTATCCCATCTTTGTAATTCCTTTTTGATATCATTCCAAATGATATCAAAGAGGAAGAGTTCTCATAGGAAAGAACATCTGCTAAGTCTGAAGTCAGGTTTGACACAGATTTGGCTTCTCTTGATTTTTCAGCTTCTGATTCTTTTGTTCTTTATCAGAATAGAATCTGGTTCATGATAGTTCCTTTACTAAATAAATTGGGATATAGCCAAAATATGTGGATAACTGAGTCTAACTATTACTTTAATAAACAGAAGTAGGCAAAATCATACATCTGTGCTAGATCAAACTTACTTCTGCCCTATTTTTATCCATTTTGTAATTCCTTCCTCTCTTAAACTCAGAGGTTATTTAAAAATCACCTGCTATCTAAAAATGATAATTTCATTTCTACATTAGTAGAATAGTTGTTCAGATGTGAAAAAGTACGTTAATATATAACATTGATATATAATGCCAATGAGGAAAATATCCAGTAGAAGTCTTATTTTAGTGTGAAGTCTATTTATTAATCACTGATAGATATACTGACATAAAAAGTAATCAAGCTACTGATATAAGAAGGATTAATTACCAAGAGTCAAATTATGAAATGTGTATTTTCTCAAAAAAGACTAATTGTTGTGTATGTCTGGTTTAATGAAAAGAAGGACTAGGGGAGACATGATACCAATGTTCCAATATCTAAGGGGTTGTCACAAAGAAGAGTCAGGCTATTCTCCAAAGCTCCTGAAGGCAGAACAAGAAACAATGGATGGAAACTAATCAAGGAGAGAACCAACCTAACACTAAGGAGAAATTTTCTGACAGTTAGAACAATTAATCAGTGGAATAACCTGCCTCCAGAAGTGGTGAATGCTCCAACACTGGAAGTTTTTACAAAAAGACTGGACAACCATTTGCCTGAAATGGTATAGAGTTTCCTGCCTGAGCAGGGGATTGGACTAGAAGACCTGAAAGGTCCCTTCCAACTCTACTACTACTACTACTACTACTACTACTACTACTACTATGACGACGACAATGATGATGTTCTTGAAATGTGACATGGTGTGCTTCATTAAACCACACAGTAGCAGCATGAACTTTTCAGCTTCTCCAAGTTCATTAGAAATAAGCCATAACTCAAATTCCTTACTGGTGGAGTACTCTTCTGGTGTACAGCAACCACTTCACTAGTATTCTTTGCTAATCAGGAATTGGTGAGTAGGTCAACAAGCATTTAAAAAGTTTATTGTAAAATGACAGCTGTATAAAGGTATAAAGGTAAAGGAGTATAAAGGTAAAGG